ATGCCAGATTAATCTAGAGGGAAAACCATGAAGAAAAAGCCAAACTTCGTGAAAATCGTATGAGATTTGACCGAGTTATGGGGGTGGTAATTTTTGACCCATGTCTATATACGAATCTTGGGGTAAGATTTGGACATGAATTTCGACCAAAAAATCGGTGTCGAGATTTGAATGCCACATTAGTCTAGAGGGAAAACCATGAGGAAAAAGCCAAGCTTCGTGAAAATCGGATGAGATTTGACCGAGTTATGGGGGTGGTAATTATGACCCATGTCTATATACGAATCTTGGAGTAAGATTTGGACATGAATTTCGACTAAAAATCGGTGTCGAGATTTGAATGCCACATTAGTCTAGAGGGAAAACCATGAGGAAAAAGCCAAACTTCGTGAAAATCGAATGAGATTTGACCGAGTTATGGGGGTGGTAATTTTTGACCCATGTCTATATACGAATCTTGGGGTAAGATTTGGACATGAATTTCGACCAAAAAATCGGTGTCGAGATTTGGATGCCAGATTAATCTAGAGGGAAAACCATGAAGAAAACGCCAAACTTCGTGAAAATCGAATGAGATTTGACCGAGTTATGGGGGTGGTAATTTTTGACCCATGTCTATATACGAATCTTGGGGTAAGATTTGGACATGAATTTCGACTAAAAATCGGTGTTCAGATTTGAATGCCAGATTAATCTAGAGGGAAAACCATGAAGAAAAAGCCAAACTTCGTGAAAATCGGATGAGATTTGACCGAGTTATGGGGGTGGTAATTTTTGACCCATGTCTATATACGAATCTTGGGGTAAGATTTGGACATGAATTTCGACCAAAAAATCGGTGTCGAGATTTGAATGCCACATTAGTCTAGAGGGAAAACCATGAGGAAAAAGCCAAACTTCGTGAAAATCGGATGAGATTTGACCGAGTTATGGGGGTGGTAATTTTTGACCCATGTCTATATACGAATCTTGGAGTAAGATTTGGACATGAATTTCGACTAAAAATCGGTGTTCAGATTTGAATGCCAGATTAATCTAGAGGGAAAACCATGAAGAAAACGCCAAACTTCGTGAAAATCGTATGAGATTTGACCGAGTTATGGGGGTGGTAATTTTTGACCCATATCTATATACGAATCCTGGGGTAAGATTTGGACATGAATTTCGACTAAAAATCGGTGTCGAGATTTGAATGCCACATTAATCTAGAGGGAAAACCATGAGGAAAAATCCAAACTTCGTGAAAATCGGATGAGATTTGACCGAGTTATGGGGGTGGTAATTTTTGACCCATGTCTATATACGAATATTGGGGTAAGATTTGAACATGAATTTTGACTAAAAAATCGGTGTCGAGATTTGAATGCCAGATTAATCTAGAGGGAAAACCATGAAGAAAACGCCAAGCTTCGTGAAAATCGGATGAGATTTGACCGAGTTATGGGGGTGGTAATTTTTGACCCATGTCTATATTCGAATCTTGGAGTAAGATTTGGACATGAATTTCGACTGAAAAATCGGTGTTCAGATTTGAATGCCAGATTAATCTAGAGGGAAAACCATGATGAAAAAGCCAAACTTCGTGAAAATCGGATGAGATTTGACCGAGTTATGGGGGTGGTAATTTTTGACCCATGTCTATATTCGAATCTTGGGGTAAGATTTGGACATGAATTTCGACCAAAAAATCGGTGTCGAGATTTGAATGCCAGATTAATCTAGAGGGAAATCCATGAAGAAAACGCCAAACTTCGTGAAAATCGGATGAGATTTGACCGAGTTATAAGGGTGGTAATTTTTGACCCATATCTATATACGAATCTTGGGGTAAGATTTGAACATGAATTTCGACTAAAAAATCGGTGTCGAGTTTTGAATGCCAGATTAATCTAGAGGGAAAACCATGAAGAAAAAGCCAAACTTCGTGAAAATCGGATGAGAGTTGACCGAGTTATGGGGGTGGTAAATTTTGACACATGTCTATATACGAATCTTGGGGTAAGATTTGGACATGCATTTCGACTAAATAATCGGTGTTCAGATTTGAATGCCAGATTAATCTAGAGGGAAAACCATGAAGAAAAATTCTATATCATATATATATTCTATTTAAGAAGCTATATGTCAAGTTTGGTGACTCTAGTTCTTCTTATTTACCAAAATTGCTTAAAAAACAGGATATTGATATCGATTTTTATCAATTGCTTGGAAACGGAGTAAGTTATCGATTATCGGAAACAAACTTGATCTGCGCGGGAGCTAGGAGCACCTACATCTAAAATTTCAAGTCTCTAGCTCTTATAGGTTCTGAGATCCTTGCGTTCATACATGCGGACGGACGGACGGACGGACGGACGGACAGACAGACGGACATGGCTAGATCGACTCGGCTATTGATGCTGATCAAGAATATATATACTTTATGGGGTCGGAGGTGCTTCCTTCTGCCTGTTACATACATTTGGCTTTCGCACAAATACAAGATACCCTTTTTAACCATTTTGAATGGGTTCAGGGTATAAAAAGTTCCAGCTAACGCGTGTCCACTGTACTTGCTTGGCTTATTTAAATTTGAACAATTTTCTCAAATTGTTCTTTCGATATTATTTTGCCTAATTGCGTTAACCTGCCACAACAGCGGGGGCGTAGGGGCGTGGCACAGGTATCACACTAACAAGTGAACTGCATTCGAGCCAGGATTGTGGCAAAGCGAACGTTGACAACCCTAAACAGCTTGAGGCTTTTATTTAATTAAAATGTTATTATTATTCGACGCCAGCGTCGGCAGCGACGTCGACGCAGCGTTCAGTTTGACAGCTCACAGTTGACAGTTTGTCAGTTCACAAGTTAACAGTTAAATGTCAAGTGAGGCCCGAAAAGCAACTCCACCCCCCTCCACCCCGCCCCGCTCCTTCCAACCCCTTTCAACCCCTCGCATTCGTTCTGTCACGCTCTCGCTCGCACTCATGCGCTTTCTGCCCGTGCACAGCTGCAGCCATTCACAATAGTTGCCTTGGCAGCTGCTGCTGTCGCTGCTGACGTCGCTGTCGCTGCGTAGCTGCAATTAAAATAAAACAAATAAATGTCGCCTGCGTTAGGGGCGTGGCTTTGACGTTCTGACTGACTGCAATGAAATATTTTGCCGCTTTTATAAGCGATTCGCTGTTGCAGTTGCACCTGTGCTGCCCCGCCCCCCTCCCCCCGTACGTGCCACCCACAACAATTTGTTAGCAACTCAGTCAACGAGAACGCGGCGAAGACAAAAATAAAGGCAAAGGTAACTTTTGTTGTCGTTGTTGTTGTTGTTGTTGTTGTTATTGTTATTGTTGCTATTTGACAACGACAACGACTGCGACAACGACAAATACTTGATGGATGTAGGCGACCTTCACCTGGCTGCCCAGCTGCTGCGACCCCTGGCCAGCCCAAGCCCCGCCCACTTCAACGCATTGCAGCTCAAAGGGAAAAAAAACACCTGACCTGAACGCAGAGTCAAAATCAGAGGCTAAAGCAGAGAGGAAGTGGCAGAAAGGGAGAGATTTGATAAGTGGAGAGTAAATCTACGAGTGGAGCATGTTTGTGGATAAGAGCTTGGAGTAGAAATTAAAGTGTGGAGAGAGCAAAACTAGTGGAGAGAATACAAAATAAAGATACGAGTAGAGTGGAGAGTAGCATTACGATCAAATGCTCGTGGCGAAGAGAGTGTAGAGAAGAGAACAAATGGTGGAGAGAAGGAGAGTAGAGATTAAGGCAAAAATGCAGATATCGAGGAGAGTGCAGAGTAGAGAATGAAGCATGGATAGTGGAGAAAATTAAGAGGAGAGTATACAATTTAGGCTTAAAAGTAGGTAACACAGATTTGATAAGTCGTAGCAGAGAGCAGCAAGTGGAGAGTAAAGATTCGAGTGGAGAAACTAGATGGAACGTTTGTAGAGTAGAAAATAAAGTGTGCAGAGCAGAGAAAATAAAGTGGAGAGTACAAATGAAGGTTAGAAACGTAGATATTATAGAGGTGTATAAAATGGAGACTACAAATGAAAGGAAAGGCTTATGGATAAAGCTTAGAGTGGAGAATAAAGTGTGGAGAGTAGATACAATAAAGCAAAAAGGATGCGAAAAATGAAGAGATAAGATGTGCGTAGAGTGGAGACCAGCAGGTAGATTTAATGTTCATAAAAGATAGTGAAGAATAGAGAATAAAGTGTAGAGATTTGCGTAGATTGGAGACTACAAACTACATAGATGTCAGGCTTATGGAGAACAGTGAAGAGCAGAGACCAGAGTTTGGAGTAAAAAAAAAGCAAAAACCGTAGAGAAAATGGAAAGTAAAAATGCGAGTCTAATGTTTAAGAGGGAGAATATAGAATAGAGAATAAAGTGGAGAGAAAGTTGAGTAAAGATACAAGTGAAAAAACTAACTAAAAACCAAATAAAAGTTTTCTGTAAAGTGCAGAGCACAAGTTCAAGTGTAAAGAGAGGGGACAATAAAGTAGAGAGGGAAAGCAATAAACTGAGCTAAAAGCTCAGATAACAGGCTTAAATTTAACACATGCTTTCTTATGGATTAATCTATTGTTGCAGCAAGAAAAAACTCTTTTTCAGTGAGCTTTTCGATTGCGGCTATCTCTCTCTTTCCCTCTCTTTATCTCTTTTTAAAAGCACATTGAAGCAGAGCTGCTTAAAGCTCACTCAGCGGGCTTATGGATTCAACTTTTGCCGCAGAGACAAAAAAGCTCCCTTTCTGCGAGCTTTCTCACACTCTAGCTCTATGCTTCACTTTAAAAGCACATTGAATAAAAGCTCATAAAAGCTTAAAGCTCACTTGACTGGATCGATGACAAAGCTTTTCTCTGTAAGCTTTTAGCTCTCTCTATCCATCTCTTTCACTCCCACATTCACTCTCTCGTTCTCGCTCTCGTTTCGTTCAACTGTCACAAAATTCAAAATTTTGTCAAAAAAAAAAAAAAAATAAAAAAAATAAAAAAAAAAAACCAAATAAAAATAAATAATAAAATAAAATTTTTTGTTTTTTGGTTTTCCAACTCGAATTCGACATAGGCAAAAATTTGATTGGTCAGCTGAAAAGCTTTGGCTGGTGCAAGCGATGACTGTGGCGGAGACTGAGGAGAACGGCCCAAGCAACAGCAGCAGGCACTGGGCTAACGCGCCACGGGCGGGGCTGCCGGCGGCACAGGATCAGGATCAGGATCGGGATCGGGATCGGAGGCTGGAGCTCAAGAAAGCGCCGAATGCCAGATCCGAACCGGCTCAGGAACTGCGGTAAGCGCACAATTTGGCCGCAGCCGGAGCCCGTTTTTGATGTGCCTCTTGAAGCGCAGCTCTCCGTGTGCCGGCGGCCAGCCGAAGGTGTATCCCACGCTGCGTCTGCGACTGCGACAGGGCGTGCCGGAGGCGGCTGAGACGGACAACGTCCCTATGCTGGTGCAGGGCCCAAGGCAGGCGGGCGGCCGGTCGAGCAGCTCGACGAGTCGCCTGGCTCGCCAGGCGGTCACCCAGCCGCGACGCGTGTCCACGCCGCCAGCGTCGACGCGTCCTGTGGAGATGATGCCGCCGCCGTCGCTGTCGCCGTTAGCGTCAGCGTCAGCGTCAGCGTCGGCGTCGTTATCGCTGCCCATGCAGTCGCCGGAGCATAGCTACAGCAACAGCCTTGGCGGCAGCGGCGGAGGCAGCGGCAGCAGCAGCGGCAGCTACTGGCTAGAAACGCAACACTTTAACGTAGCCGGCGGACAGGTGAGCCGCCCGCTGTCACTGCCGCTGGCGCTGCCGCTGCCGCTGGAGAGCGCTGGCGCGGCAGAGCGTCGCCTGACCTTTGACCAGTGGCTGCAGTCCAAAAAGTAAGTCGCCAGCTCATTAACGAAAAAATAAAAAAAAAAAAATAAACAAAAAGCGAAAATGACAGGAAACAGGAGGTGCTGCGTCGCCGCCAGAGTCGACGCGAGGCGCATCGACTGCACAGCCTGAAGCAGATGCGCAAACAGATGTCCGAGAAGTGCTATGAGGATTGGCTGCACGCCAAGCGGCGGGTGCACTGCAGCGCCCGGCTGCCCGGCGCATTGGCCGAGGTGCAGCGCAAGCGGCGCGAAGAGTCACAGCTGTGCCTGGCCCAGTGGCAGCTGCGCAAGCGGCAGGAGCAGGAGCAGAGGCGCGAGGAGCAGCTGCGCGCCGAGCAGGAGCAGCGCGTCCATGAACAGCTGCGCCGTCAGCTATCGCAGCTCGCCTGGGAGCGCTGGCTCGCCCAGCTGGCGGCCAAGAACCAAAGCAATCCCGGCCTGCAGACCGAGCGCCAGTGGCAGCAGCAGCAGCATCACCTCCAGCAGCAACAACAATTCCAGCAGCAACAACAACACCTGCAGCAGCACCTGCAGCAGCAGCAGCATCCGTTGTCGCGGCTGAGCAAATTGACGGCGGCCGCGGCGCCCAGGCAACGCATACGCCTGCGCCCGCCGCCGTCGAGCGCCAGGCAACAGCAGCAGCAGCAGCTGGATCAGCGCAAGCTGCAGGAGCAGGTCGCCTCCTTGTATCTGCATGTCCCTCTGTCGGCGGCGCAGCGTGCTCTGCGCCGACGTCTCGATGCCATCGATGCGGTGCACTTGCAGCGGCGGCGCAGATGATGCTAGCTGCAAAGCTTTTGCTTAATCGAAAAGCTTTGCCCCGCCCACAGAATACGTCCGTTCTCCCGTTTGTCCACCTGTTGACCACCATGTTGAACAGTTAAGCCAGCCAGCCTTAAGGACCATGAATACTTCACAAATTATACAAAGACAATAAATTCATAAATTCATAGATTCATTGCAAAGTGCTTTTGTTTAAAGCTCATGAGCTTAAAGTTTCGCAGAATTAACAACAGTCAAATTAAATGCCAATAAATTAGCTTTTAGCATAAAGCTTAAAGCTCCACAGAAAAGGCATAAAGTTATTTAAGGAAAATTACATTAAAATGGTCTAACACTGCAGTTAAAGAAAGACGGAAACTGGGCCTGCAGTTAGTCGAGCTTTCAGCCAAAGCTTTCACTTAATCCAGAACCAACTTATTCGCTCGATTAATCCGTTTAGCCAGCTGTTCATGAATACTTCACATAATTTATAAAGACAATACAAGATTGTCATAGAATTGTTGCATAAAGCTGATGTTTAAAGCTCCGATTTTTATGTTGATCTCAAATTTGTCTAGAGGTGTTGGTAACTTTAAAAGTTTGTTTAACGTCAAGCTTTCAAGTCTTTCTTTTTATAACAAGCTTTATTTAATGCTAAAAGCTTTAATGCGCTTTTTAAAACATGCAATATAGTGAGTCGAGCTTTCAGCAAAAGCTTATATCACCTGAACCGAGTTTAAAGCTTTCACATATTCTTAAAGCTGTTGATGCTGCGTTGGAATTCGTTGATTATTTTCGGGAATATGCCCAGCAGCACTTTGTGCGCTAGCGTGTTAAATGCAGCTCAAAAGCTTAACAAACAAAATTGCACAACACTGGTTTTCCGATGCTGTTGCACACACCACACAGCCCACAGCACTGCTTTCAGTGTGTGTGTGTGTGTGTGCGGTGAGGTGAGTGTTACTTACAAATACAATTGCGAACAGTTCACAACTGAAGAGCTTTGCAAAGCTCGACTGCAGCATCTTGCCGGGGCCTATCGCTTGGCTTAGCTCGGCTTTTATTTTGTATTTTTTTTCTTGGCCTAATTCAATTAGGTTAACAATAGCTGGAACACCTTCAATGCTCGGCTCGGGGGGATTACAGCTCCATGTTACCCGTTGACTTTGTAAAGGCTCCGAAGCCCCAGGCGCAGGTCAACTGTCTGGTCATTAGACCGCAGCGCAGACAATGCTCATTCCGGGTGGGAAGAGGAGAGCGTAGAGGATGGGCTTGGGTTTGGATTTGGATTTATAAGGCCGATACGCAGCCTATACGCCTACACGCCCACATATGGCCCGACGCCCACTTATCCTTTTAATCCATTTTCATTGTGTCGCTCAGAGACATTTTTTGTTGGTCAGGCAACAGGACGCAGCACTTGGCTGAAATGCATGCCCCAACACACATGCCACACACATGAATCGATGCCCGAGAGAAAAACTAAGTGAGAGAGAGAGAGAGAGAGCGAGCGAGATGGATGCTGGAGCAAGTGCAGCAGCAGCTGCTGCTGTTGATTTGAGTGCTGGATAAAAGGGAGCCCACATTTTAGCCAAAAATTGAGCTGCTTGCAATGTTTTGTGGCTGCAACCGACTCCAGCCCATGCCCCTCCCCCTCTCGCAACACGTTCAGTTTTTGGGGCAACAACTTTGGCTTGTTTGCGAATCCAATGAGCTGCTTGTCCAGCTACGCAACCAGCTCCAAGGCAAGGCACCTGCGTCATTTCCAAAACACAAATGCATATTTTTCTTTGCCCTTCTCCATTTTTGTTGTTGTTCATCTTCTTTTTCTTCTGCTGATTCAACAATTGCACCTCCGACGGCCTGATCGATGTGTGTGTGTGTGTGTGTGTGTGTGTGTGTATGTGTGTGTGTGTGTGTGTGTGTGTGTGTGCGTGTGTGCAGCAATTGTGTGGCCGGGCGCATTGATCATGTAGGCCAAGACCCCGAAAATGAAGAGTCTGGACACACACACACACAAGCACACACACACAAGCACACACACTCACAGGTACACTCAGCTACATGAGCTATCGGCCACAATGTACTTCAATCAAGTTGATTTCGCTCAGTGGCCGCCCCTTGAGTTTAGCTGGAACAGCTTCTCTTGGCCTGAAAGTCCTTGTAGCATTTTCGACTTTGTGCCATATGGAGATTGAAGGCCAAAGTATTTGGGTTGATTGGTCTGGTCATGGAAGGCGACAAGAAGGTAAGTCTGGAACCGGTTCGAGCCAGACAGGCGACTGGCCATTAGCTAGCAACTGAGTATTCAAAACGAATCAGTTGCTGCTAAAGTAAGCCAAGCTATATTTAAATGAAGGAATCAATAAGTCTGCAAACCAAGTTTCAGCTGAACCGGTTCGAGTCAGATAATTTAATTGCTATTTACTTCTTATCAACTGAGAATTGAAACGAATCAAGACAATATTGAAATCAAGGATAAGAAATCAGCAACCATATTTTAAATCGAAACGGCTCAAGCCTCAAGAGCCAAGCATTGAACCAAATGAGTAGCTACGAATGAGAAGCACCTGAGAGTATTTACATCAAAGATTAACAATTTGGGCCGAACCGGTTCGAGCCAGGTATTTGTATTGTCATTTATTACGAACCGAACCGAAAGGCAGGCAGCTGGGTCAAACCGTAAGTCGAACCCACCTTAAGGGAGGTTGCTGCTTCGAGCCCTAAACCAAATCGTGAAACATTTTTGAATATATTACAAGTAGTAAGTCTCTAGCTAGAGAGGAACAAAACCAATATGCCCTTTACCAACCCGTGAACAGTGTATATATTTGGTTCATCAATATAATGCATATATAAGGTATAATCTGCCTTTGCAAATGCCGAAGTTGAATGCGTACGGCGCCTAAAACTTTTCACCCTGCGGCTTGATGGTGATGTTTTGCACCTGTCCGAAGTAGAAGAAGCACTTGGTAAGAAACTGAGCCTAGTTATGTTAAGGAGCCGGAACTGACCTGCACATTGGCTGGCGTGCCAATGGTCCACAGTATGGCATCGGCGACATCCTCGGCGCGTAGCATGGGCATGTGCTGCTTGATGACGATCTGCAGCTGCTCGGGCAAGATGTCTGTGTCGACAATGCCGGGGCTGATTGTCTGCAATGGCAACAAAATAATAAAAATAATGTGCCATACACACACACACACACACACAGGAGCGTGACTCCGACTAGAGATGGTCGCGAACACGAGCCTAACTAAATGTTTTAGGAATATTGCCTCATGTTGGAGAAACTAAATTAGTAAGCGTAGAGCTCTGGAGGGCAAAGTATTTGCCTGGCTAAATGCATTGAGTCCAAAGAAAAACGTCGAACATGTAGAAAACTCAAACATGCTGCTGACTCGCGATGATCGAGCTCGAACATGCTCAAACAAGTTGCTGACTCGCGATGATCGAACTCGAACATGCTCGAGCTTCCTTTGAATGAAGATGCTGGAAGGCAAAGTAATTGCAAACGAAATAAAATTAAGTCAATCGATTCGAGCCCAAGCTGATCGCTCGAACTGGCTTCAAATATCGCGGTACATTCGGTTGTGTTCGAGTTAAACATATTTTTGCTCGTACATGTTGTTAGCTCAAAGATGATGAATCAAACTTCGTTTGAATCAAGACTATTGTCTCAACCGAAAACCGGTTGCAGATACGCGCAAAATTATTTGTAGTCGTGCGAGTCAATGCTCAAATTTGTTCGGCTGTTCGAGTTGCAGACAAAAACAAATTGATCCGGTCGATGCGAGCCTGAGCTAAATGCAATCTCTGCCCGATTAGTTTGATCTCAGACATGCTCGAACTGTTCGAAACACGTTCGTTTTATCGCGTCGATTAAGTCGGTATAATATTTGAGTTACTTTCGATTGGTTAGCCGACGCAGAGCTCTAGCTAAGTTAACACTCACCGAGACCCGGACTTGGGTCTTGTGACGCTGAAACTCCTGTCGATAGATCTCCTGCATGGCGCGCAGAGCAAACTTGCTCGCCGGATAGATGTTCAGCGAGGGCAGCTGTGTGCCCAGATTTGGCACCTGCTGCCCCGCCACGCTGTTAACAATGATCACATGACCCGGCTGCTTTTGCTGCTGCTGCGAGCGCATCGCCTGAAATGCCTCGCGTATGCAATAGACACTGCCCATTATGTTTGTCTCGATGGTGTCGCGTATCGGTTGCGTATTGCCGGCACCGCTCAGCTCCGTGGTGGCCATGATGCCCGCATTGCTGACCAGCACATGGACACCGCCCAGCTGTCGCTTGGTCCAGTCGAATGCCTGCAGCACTTGCGATTCGCACGTTATATCGCATTGGACAGCGTGCAGACGTTGTTGCTGGGGCAGCGGCAGCTGGGCGCGCAGCTGCTCGATGCGTTCCTGGCGTCGGGCCAGGCCCACAACCAACAGACCGGCACCGACCAAGGCCCGGGCACAGGCGGCACCGATGCCAGCGCTGGCGCCGCTCACCACGGCTACTTTGTTGCGCCAACGTTCCATGCTGTCGACTGAGCCGAGCTGCACGGCAAATTGGGCCCGCCAGCTGGGCAGAGCCCTCAGCTGGAAGCCCCAGCAATGCGAACGGATCGAACAGGTCAACGGAGTGGGGCCTAAGCCGTATCGATTTACTTTCTCCCTCTCTCTCTCTGACACCATTCCATGCTCATGTCTTTGTCTTTGGGCCACGTTGAGGTAATCGTCTGAGCTGGATGCACACTCACCCCAGCTAACCGCCCATCACCCACCACCCAATACCCTCTATATATCCTTCGAGCAAGGCCCCAACGCAGCTGTAATTACCAAACTCCCTCCCCCTCATCCATTTGTATGCCCGCTGTGATTAGGTACACTCAGCAAAAAAACAGTTCGACATTTTAGAGTTAATATTTCTTGAAAGTGGAACAATTTCCTGATTGAGTAGAAATTAATTTATCTGAAAATTTTTAAGGAATTTAAAGCTAAAATAAAATTGTATCAGAATTTATGAAATATTCCCGAAAAGTAGAAAAGATTTTTTGAAATGTGGCAAAACATTGTCGGAAAAGTAGAAAATACTTTGTAACAAATCATATTTTGTGCTCAAGTTTTCTTAATTTCAAAACAATTTACGCCTATTTTCTAAAATGAGTGAGACTTTTTTTCGAGTGTAGCACAGTGTAGCTTTTGGAGGAGGCGTACAGCTATTTGGTTGGCCGGCTTTAAACAGGCAAACATGAATAGTTCACTACGCATTTCTACGTTTCGAACTGCATTGTTTGGATGCCAAATTCTATATAAGACAGGCATTTGCAAGAGGCGCATAGGAGTTCGGCTTTACCGCCAGAATGTTCGTTGTTCTGAGGCGAGATATTTTTGGAAAAAAGAAACCACTTCCGGTTTGGGTTTCGGCTAAGCTGAAAAGTTACAAAATAAAATTGAATTCCTGGTTCGAATTGTATTGATTCATACAAATAGATAATGTTTGGCACAGGAAGAATGCTTCTCCGATTCCATAAAGCATATGCATATAAATATAATCTGGATCAGCCTCAACTGCCGAATCGGTTGCTGGATCGATAGCTAAAGACCTCAAATAGTGAAAAGCTTAAGGGTTATTTTAAATAAACGATAAATATCGATTTTCGAAGCATCTGAATTCCCAAAAAATAGATCAGAGGAAAGAGCCAAGTCGTCAAACTCTTCAGACTTCATTGAATTCGCAAAAAACTCTAGATAGAATATCAGCTCAAGCGGTTTTCAAGGTATCGATAAGTATCGATGACTCGAAAACTTTTAGAGCCAAAGATTTTAAAGTTGGATAACTCAGCCTATTTCCATGAAATCAATGAAAATCGCGCCGAGTCGTCAAACTCTTCAGACTTCATTGAATTCACAATAAACTCTAGATAGAATATCAGCTCAAGCGGTTTTCAAGGTATCGATAGGTATCGATAACTCGCCCTATTTCAATAAAATCAATACAAATCGATATCGATACACTGGATTTGACCGGAACTTGAGATAATACATTTAGTAGACACAAGCTTCATCTGCAACAAAGGCTAGAAGATCGATAAATATCGAAGGTGAACGTGCTTCTTTGAGCATATCTCAGTACACAGATACAGGATATTTGTTTTCTCGCTGGCTCGTACAGGGTACAGGATATCTTCCAGTCGGTCACTTCCAAATAGATACTTGTCAATCCTTGCGACTGATAATTGGCGATTATCGGTTGTCTACTTTGGTTCCTATATTAGCGATTTTTATTATTTATAATTTACTACACACAAATGCAACTAAATTCAAGAATTCCTAAAACTCTCAGGAAAACAAAAATAAATAGGTCTAGCCTCAATTTAGATCTATGCAAATTATATGACGGAAAAGTAAAAAAAAAACTATGTTGGGTATCGTTGGGATTGGATAGGGGAACGGGAAAGGGGAATGGGAAAGGGATGGGGGAACGGGAAAGGGATGGGGGAAGTGGGAAGGAAGGTGGGAGCTTAAAGGATTAGGGTTATGCGAGGTGGGGTTAGGGAAGGAGGGGTTAAGGTGGGAGATTGAGGAAGATGCTTTGTCGAGAAAGATGGATTGTTAAGAGAGCGTGTAGTTAGGGAAAGGTAAGTAATAGGAGGAAGAGGAATGTTAAGGTGTTAAGGAAAGGTGATCAAGGTGGAAGATCAAGGTAGGCGGGATTATGGAAGAATCCTTTAAGAGAGGAGTTTGGGAAAAGGGTTAAGAAAGCGGGTTAAGGAAGAGCGTTATGGAAAGAAGAATTATGGAAGGGTTTGGTTGCGATCCTTTGACTTTTAGCTAAACGCCCTTGACAAACTAACGCCAGGGTTTTGATTTCTGCGCCTCCTTGCTCTCCTTGCCCATGAGCAGACGCTTCGGCTCAGTGCTGCGTGCACGTTGCAATGGCGCAATCGATTTCCTGGCTATGGATTGCAATTGCTCCTCGGAGCGTTGGATACGCGATTCGGTGAGCGACATTTTGCGAGCATTATGCCGCTGGGTATTCGCTGCCTCGTCCACATAGACGGCGCGTCGCTGCTGTTGCTTAAGCTCCTGGCGCAGCTCCTGCTTGAGTTCCTCTTTCAGATTGCGGCAGCTGTCGCTCAGACTGCGCTCCGGCAGCGCCTTGCCCTCCTCGACCCAGGCCTTCAGTTTTTTGCGCAATTGTTCGCGCTTCTGTTGAAATTTGCGCGGCAATATTTTGCTATTCTGCATGTCCTGCTGCTTGCGCAGCTGCTCCAGCTGATCGTCGCGCAGCTGGCGCGGCCCCTGGCCACATTCCGACGGCTGGACGACCTTTCGCATTTCGCGCACACGCTGCGCATTGCTCTTGCTCCAGATGATGGGACTACGCTGCGGCCGCAACAGGCAGCTATCCGTGGTCGTCTCCGCCTTCCGACTCTTCTCGAGCATCGTCAGCTCCGCATCCTCCGGCTGGGTCTGTGATGCAGCATCGCTCAGATGCAAACGCTCCGTATCCCTGTTATGCTCTCCTCCGCACCCGGAGCCGACTGTCGCCGTCGTCTTGGCTGGCACACCATATTCCTTGGTCGTCAGACGGACGGGCTCATTGATCGTCTGACGCCAGAGTTTGCGTCGCGGCTGCGCCAGTCGCTCCAGCCGCTCATAGTCCGGGCCGCTGCGCACCTGCGCCGTCGCCTGCGTTGGCTGCTGTCCCTGCTGTCCCGTTCGGGCCGTCGGCAACAGCGTCTGCCACTCGTTGGGATTGTGGTAGTGCGGCGCATTGGACGCGCGCAACGAGTCCAGGCCACGGCCCATGGCCACCGGCTTGGGGCGATTGCGCGTCGCATAGACCCACTGCTCCCAGGCCTCGGCGCTCAGTTCGCGGCGCGTCGAATCGATTAGATTCTGGCGCGCCAGGCACGCCTCACGCTCCAGCCGCTGCGCCTTGAGCTCGGCGCGCTTCTCGCGCTCCCATTCGAGCAGGCGGCGCTGCGCCTCCTCGGCGGGCAGCGACTGTCGCGATTTGGCCGTCGTCTGTGCAGAGCTCAGATCGGATTTGGCGCGACGCATCTGATTGGTTTTGGCCTGAATCCAGCGCTCGTATTTCAGCTGCGCCAGGCGGGCGCGCTCCACTGCGCGCTGTTGCTCCAGCTCCGAGTACAGCCGCCGATCCATGGCTAGCTGCTGTTGCAGTTCACTGTGGGTTGGAGGGTTCGATTTGGTATTAGCTGAGTTCGTGCGAGCTGGCTGGAAGGGTTACTTAGCTTACTTCTTGGCCGCCAGCCAGGCGTAGAAGGGCGAGTCTGGCGATTCGGATAAGGCATTGGCACTGTTGCCTCTCCTATAGATCCTATCCTGCGATTCGACCGTGGATAGCAGCGTGCTATGCGCAATTACCTCGGTGCTATTCCACAGGGCCAGCTCTTCCACGCTCAGATTTTCCTTCGTCTGGATCTGTAGCTTCACAGGTTGTGCTCTTTTCGGTGGCGGTAAAAACTCCGGCTGCGACTTTCCTTCTGGCTGCGATTTTTCCGTTGGCAACTTTTCCGGTTGCGATATCTCCGGATGCGATTTTTTCTCTGGTTGCGGATGCTTTTCCGGTTGCGATTCCTTTTCCGGTTGCGACATCTCCGCTTGCAACTTCGGCGAGTGCGACTTCTCTGGATATGTCTTTTTCTCCGAGTGTGATTTATCCAGATGCGACTTGTCCGGCAGCGACTTATCCGACAGTGACTTATCCGGCAGCGACTTATCCGGCAGCGACCTTACCGGCTGTGACTTCTCTGGTTTAGGCATCTCTGGTTGAGACTTCTCAGGCTTCAGCTTCACCGCCTGCCACTTTTTATCTGGCTCCAAATTCATCTCTGAATACAGCATTTGCGAACGCGCCTTCTCCGGCTGGGGCTTCTTGGCCGGCTGCGCTTTCTCCGGTTTCCATTTCGCCGACTTCGGCTTCTCCGGTAGCGATCTGTCAGATAGTGAATTCTCCAGATTCGAACTCTCCGAGTACGTCTTCTCCAACTGCGATTTTTTAGGCTGCGACTTCTTCAAGTACGTCTTCTCTACGTGAGACTTTTCCGGATCCGACTTCTCCGGCTGCGACTTCTCCGGCTGCAACTTCTCCGGCTGCAACTTCTCCGGCTGCGACTTCTCCGGCTGCGACTTCTCCACGTACGTCTTCTCCACGTACGTCTTCTCCACTTGCGACTTCTCCGAGTGCGATTTCTGCGGCTGCGACTTCTCCGAGTATGTCCTTTCGGTATATGAATTCTCTATGTACGCCTTCTCCGAGTACGCCCTGTCCAAATTAACCTTCTCCAAGTACTCCTGCTCCAAGTACTCCTTCTCCAAGTACAGTTTCTTCAAGTGCGACTTCTTCGAGTGCAACTTCTCCAAGTGCGACTCCGGTTGGGCACTTGCCAAATGCGATTTATTCTCAGGCTGCGACTTTGACAAGTGAGATTTAACCAGCTGGGCCTTCACAAGATGCGACTGCAACTCCGGCTGCGACTGCATCTTCGGCTGCGACTTCTCCGACAGAGCTTTCTTCTCTGAGTGCGATCTTTCCAGTTGCAATCTCTGCGGCTGAGGCTGCTTTTCCGATTGTGACTTCTCTGGCTGTCGCTGTTCCGCTTTCTGTGTCTGCCCCTGAGTCTTCTCCTGCTGCCACCTTTTCTTATGTTCCCTATCTGGTTGCTGCTTCTCCAGCCCCAACTTCTCCTGCTGCTGTCGATCCCTCTGCTGCTGATGGCGATCTATGTGCTGCTCCTGCAGGAGGCGCACATCCTGTCGTTGACTGGGCGTGGTATCCGCAAAATAATGGAAACGATGGCGATGATCGTAACGTCCCGGTCTGTTCGAACGGCCGAGAGTGAAAGATATTTTGAAGGAATAACACGTTGATACGACACAACTTACCGCGTGTCCGGCTGCGTTCGGGCTGGACTACAATTGATTCTGAGATTCTGGCATGAGGCGACTGTTCGCTTGCCCGGCTCCGTGGACAACATGACGCGCATTATCTCATTGCCATGCTGATCATTGCTAGCCACATACGCCATCTGATCTTGCAATCAGTCCAATCGGATCAAGGGTTCGTTTGAATGAAATGGGTCTAGTGAATAAATTGAATCAAATGCGTTGAAGCAATCAAATTGGTGCGAATTGCCTTTTTCTTTGTGTCAATAGTTGGTTCCGTGGCCAGAGTTTTCGATTTTGTTTAGTTAGTTGTTGTTGTTGCCTCAGCTGTTGAGAGACGATACTAAAATATATGAATGCAAACTTTCACAGTCTGCTTCGTTATACAACAACTCAACAAGGGCTGCTCAGTCGAAGGCTGCTTATCTTAGGAAAATATTGGAATATGGACTACTATACAACATCAGCATCTAAGTCGATCAAGTCAAGTCTGGCTTTAGGACATCCGATGGTCCGACCTTAGAGTCTATAAGAGCTAGAGTCTCATTTCCTTCAAATCAGCAAAAGCTCGACCTTTTTCTATGAATACAATTGTTATTAATCGAGTTATCATAAGCCCAAACAGCTTTTACTCTTGCTTCTATATTCTTCCAATAGAGTCCCTGTGTTCCTTTGTTTAAAGTGACTTTTTAGCAAGTCTGCTAAATTATGCTTTTCTTATAACTTATATCTCAACTTATATGTCAATAAATTCATATAGCCCTTGCTTGATATAATTTCTTTCCATGGCCACGCTTTGAATATTCCATGGGGCTTAATTAAGCCTTTGGGTGTATTTCCGCGCAAGGACAATCGAATTATCTGTAAGTAATTAAAGCGAGTGCGACTATTTGCACCACAAGTAAAGGCGTTAAGTGGAGAGGGGCGTGGCATTTAGTTAATAAACCGCAACAAGTTGCGAGCAGGAAATTCCACTTAAATGAAAACGCACTTAGAAGAAGTTTAGTGTTTAATGAAGTTACGACCTCCCAAAACTCATTCAAGGACTTTACGTTGACAGCCAGTCGACATCCTTAATATATATATATATCCTTTATATACATGTATATCTGGATATGTGTATGTATGTGTGTATGTGTATGTAGACAACCTGCGCGGTCAATTGAGGCATTTAAAAGCCGTCTAAAGAACTTACATACAAATAACGCCCCAGTTCGTAAAGCAAGCCTTGGATTGGCAAATTTTGAATACTCTTACGAAGCGTATTTCGGTAAGATTAGCTTCTTTGTGAACCTTGTGATATTCTTAAGCTTTTCTCAATGAACCAAACAAAAAAGAAGAATCAACTTAAATGAACTCTTTAGCTAGCATCATTTTGCAACTTTAGCAAGAGAGAGAGAGACTTTTGGATTATATGTTAAACTCAAGGTGCAACATATTTGGAAAGTATTGTTACAAGCCAACAACTGTTTAAGGTGTCAAGCTAACAAAATATGAAATATTACTTTTCTGTAATATATACAAGAGCTTACATACCAAGTTTGGCATATATAGCTCTTAAATTTCCCGAGTTGTGCTTCAAAAACCAAAGACCAACATCGATATTTATCGAAATAATGCAATTGGAGAACAGATAAAAAAGACGAAAAAGATGATCTACTCGTTCTGCGTAAGTTTAAGAAAAATATGTACTTCAAAATTCAAGTCTTTCACTTTTATAATTCTCGAGATAGACACATGTGCACAGATGGACAGAGATGTTGTAATAATATATCTATATATGCGTTATGTGATCAAAGATGCCTCCTGCTCTCTGTTACCTACATTTAATACAGGGAACTTTCACAATATAGTTCAATTCGGGATTATGTTCAACTGTTTGATTGAGAAATAATACCAATATAAGGTTCGAATTATGCTTAACTGAGCGTCCGTTTTGGGACAATCTTCAGCATATTTGAATCAATTTAGTCAAACTTTGGCACTCTGACACGCTCTGTATGGAATGTAGCATACCCTGGTCTGGCGCCTGAGCGGTAACCGACAGCTCATTAAAGCATATTTGCGTTAAGTTCTTTTTGTGAACAATTTAACAGGCTAGCATTTGGCTGGGTTGGTGTCGCCGTCTGTTCGGCCCCTGCCGACCCCCGACCCTCTAGCCCATAGCCCCGCTCATTTGGCCAGCTCTGGCGCGACCCCAGCTGCAGTTGGCCCATTAAAAAATGCAGCATTCAAGTCAACGGCATGTTGTTTTCTGTGCATACGAGACCTAGTCCACTTTCTCTATGTAGTGCGGCCCACTCTTCGCCCCGCTGCCTTTGGCTCTGTCTGTGTTTAGCTGCGTCTAGGGAGAACCGTTTTAGCCAGTGTATAACTCCTTGCGTGTGTGTGTGTGTGTGTGTGTGTGTGTGTGTGTGTGTGTCTGCCGGTCAGGTACTTAACTTTTAATTATGCCGCCCGGCGTAGCGTGTCACTGGCCCAGCGACCAACCAGTTGACCAGCTGGACAGGTGTCACGATTAAATCGCGCCGGGTTGCGGAGAGCTGGCGCCTAACCGCCCCATCCACACCTCTAGCCCGGCCGGGTCTGACGGGTATACTTATTTAACTGGCACTCAACTTGCCAGCGTGCGATACACATAATGACAAGAAACAAGTAAGAGTGCGCCAGTCAGGAGTCGGGAGTCGGAAGTCGGGTGTGGCCGACTGCAGGATACCCTCAACCCAGAGCCCGAGCTGCCGTTACAAGCACTCTTCAGTTCTTCTTCTTATTCCTCTACGTTCTTGAATAACTTCGGAATTTATAGTCCGATCTCTTTGTAATTTGAAGGGCTTAAATATGTAAAAGAGAAAAGTGCGTATACCAGGGCGCAAGACTCCACCTATAATAATGAGAAGCTTTTCCAATAGGTTGAGTTATCCAAAAAGTGTAGTGTAACAAACCGTTTCTTAAAATCGATATTTATCGATAGCTTGCAAAGAGGGAAGAGATATCGGATAGTTCTTACAAAGCAGTTCTCATATCGATACTTATCGATATTTTGGATATAAATGGATATATTGTGTTTTCCTAGTAGAACCAGTTCTCTAATCGATACTTATCGATATTTTGGATATAAATAGGGGTATTGAGATATCAATAAAGGGGAGATGAGGGGGGATTTTTATCAATATTTTGGAAATATGGAGAGATATCGAGTTGTACTATAGACAAACAGGTCTAAAAATCGATTGTTTTGAAATCAAAAAGATTATAAGCTCGTTCTGCGTACGATATCAAGACTATATACACTGCACGGCTTCGACAACGCGTTGTCTGCTGGCTGTTACATACATTCGCACGAAGCCAATATGCCCTTCTTAAACCATTTTAAATTGGTTCAGGCTATAAAAACAAACTAAAACTGGACGCTTGGGCATGCCGCAGATGAAATACCCTTGAGGACAGCTATGTATCCTTGATCCTGCAGCAATGTGAGAGAAAAAATTAAGCTTTAATTAGCTAAAATACTTCGAGAACAGAAAAGTTATAGCAAGATATACTTTTGAGAACGGCCGATTCCAATTGGAAGCTATATAACACAGAGTTCCGATATTGTTAAGGTTTTGTCTATATCTATGTTGGGAACTTGATGAGCTGAGCAATTCGGGATATCGTCCAAACAAGATATGCACATATGGAATTTATATGTTCTATATGATATGATAATATGATAATATTGAATATGAATATGATATGATACCCTGTAATATGTACCATGCACCTTAGCCGCTGTCTTATACCCTGTAGTTCAAGCAGACCATTTGGCAAACAGTTGAGATTTCGAATTTGTCGCCAAACTTTGACCTCTGCACAATTCAGGCACAACTCTGGCAGCGGGCGGTCAAACGAAATTTGTTTTTTTTTGCGGGCCAGTCGAATTAATTTGCGCTCTATAGTTATGGGCGGGGGTATTTGTATTATATAATGTGCATGTTGTACATCTAGTTAAGCACTTCTTCAAGTCTGCGCCAATTTGCTTTGGTTGTTATGCTAGTTTTGCTTCTTCTTTTGCTTTTGCTTCTGCTTCTTGCTACTTATATGCTTGTCCTTGTTGTTGTTATTGTTGTTATACATTTTGCATTTTCCGTTGCACTAAAAAGTTGCCCGTTTTTATTACGTTGTACCCCAAGTTTTTGCCGATACCCTGCAAAAGTTTCTTTGCCCCGTGGGTGTCGCCGCGCCGCGTATGCAAGACAACTTTAGATATCATTTAACATATTGCCAAGGCCTTGATCCATTCTCTAAACGGAAATTAACCTTGTTGAGCTCGAGTACTATAAATGCTGGAGCCGGCAAATTTGGTATGTGGATTCGGCTATACGAAATAGGTTTTAATGAACACAACTATTTCTCAAAGCTTCTTGTCTCTTCTTTGAGGAAATTTTTGGTATATTTCAATACTGATTACAGAAAAAATAAATATTAATATTCTTCCACATTCTGGTATATAAATATACATATGTATATGCATATTATATTTTTCTAAATAATCAGGTCTTTTTTAAATTTTAAAGAAATTTACACGCTTGGCTTGACTTTTCGGATTGCAAGCTAACTAATTCCAAGTTAAGCCCAGATAAATTCATAGATAAATTATTGCAAAGCCTAAGAACCTTTTTTATAATGGTCAAAAATAGATAATTAATTTTTGTATTTATTTCTGTTAAGTTTTCTGCAAGCGTAAACAATTTAAATTTGTAATATTCATAAATTCTAATTCTTCTAATTATAAAATATTTAAATGCGGCACAATTAAATGAAATATGTAATACATAAATAAATTTGCAGGGCATCGCTTAGTCGATCACATATGTGCTTATAAAATTGAAATATAATTTGTGCTACTGGCCAACTTGTTGGCTCGATTACAGGGTATTTGGCTAGTCGTTGTGGCTGCTCTACAATTGGATTTCTATTTGTGTTCTTATTGCTGTTGTTGTCGCATCCCAAATGATTTTTCGTGAAACCCCAAAATAATAAAAAAAAAGAAGGCAAAAAAGTTGACTGTCATTTAAGCATTGAAGTGCATTTCACTGGAATCGAGAGAGGGTTGCGCGAGAAGGGGGGCGTGGCCAGCGGCAGAGGGGGAGGTAGAGGGCAGCAACAGCAAATGTTGCAACTGTGTCCCAACTGTGCAACGTGGGCTAATGGCATAAATTCGCCTGCTCCACCCCCTGCTCCTCCCCCAGCTCCTCCCCCAACTCCTCCCCCAGCACCTCGTCCTCGTCCCTGTTATTGTTGTTGCTTTCTTCTTCTTGACTGGTTTCTCTGGCAGCTACTTTTGCACAGTTGTAAATAATTTC